TGCTATGGCGGCGACGTCGGCTGGGTTTTCATCGTTGTGAATCAGAAGGTACCTCTTTTGAGATTTACGACATCTTCGGGATCGCACATGCACGAATCATTCAGTGCTTGAAGCCATGAAAACTTTTAGCAGGCTTTGATGAGGATCTCGCGCAGTCTGAGGGCCTGGCGGACGCGCCAGCGTCGGGCGGCCGCGCCCAAGAGGAGGACAGACCTCCAGCGCCGGGCGCACCTGAGGACGGGCTACCGACTACTGCTGGGTAGTCAGAGACGGAGCTGAAAGCATGCATCATGGGCGCGTGGTATGTGGAGCTTCACGAAGAAAAGGAACTGCTCGAGTCCCCCTCACGGGAATCATTGTGCTCTGTGCCCACCGAGATGGTTGCCGACGACCGCGTGCTCGTGGCTGTGGCCAGCGAAGAGCAGGGGCACTTGCGAGAAGCAGGTTGTGCTGGGAAGCGTGCCTCCGACGAAACCTTTCGGGCGCCTTGGGCCGCCGAGTGCGACGGGACTTACGATCTCGATGCGGACGACCACGGTCATTATGTTGAGTTGCGCTTTGCTGCTGACGTGGCTGCGGTCTTTCTATCAGAGCAGCAGTTCGAGTCGCTGCGCAGCGACCATGAAACCGCGGCGCAGGCATATGTCTCAGCCGCGGCCAAAAGAGCTGTGGTTGTCAACGGAGACGAGGCCCTGGCGAAGGCAGACACCCAAGTCAACCCGACAAAGATATTTCAAGCTTTGTGCACTGAGCCCAAAGCGTGGTATGACAACAACTGCTTCAATATTCGAGACATCAAGAATGCCGCCAATATCATGGCCTCTAGATGCACGCGCAAGTGGAACATTGTCAAAAACGTCGCGGGGGAACTGGGGCGAATATTGAGACTGCGCCTTGATCTTCGTGGCATCATGGATGTCGAAGCATTCGACGTAGAAGCCTTCTCAGGCGCAGCTCGTCGAGCAAGCCGGGGATTGCGCGCCGGCGTGGCCGCGTGCAAGAAGCAGTGGGTCATGGCATCCATGGACATCGATGAGGCTTTTTTGAAGGATCTAGCCTATCGTGAGTTGGCAGAAGCCATTGGAGAGAAAGAGTGCATGGTTTGCTTTGCCCTTCCACCCGGCCCAGCCTCGGTGCTACGCGCGTTGCCAGGTTCCTCGTCCCATGACGAGTCAAATCGCTGTCTGCAGTGCTTTGGGCCAGGCGCAGGCGCCAAATGCACCCCGAGGGCATTCTCACTGAAGCTCAGAACCATCGCGCCAGGATTCGGGCTGAAACTTTCGTCGCGCGATGAAGAATTTGGAACAGGCCCGGGCCTCTCAACGGCCAAGCACGTCGATGACTTAGACGTGGCAGGAGCGGAGGGTACTATTGTCAAGTGCGTCGAATTTGTAGGAGGTGGGTTGGGCGCCTGCAAACTGAGCAAGCACTGTGACACTTATTGCGCCGCGCGATGCGCTGAGACCGATGGCGGCCGCGCCCGGCAAGATCAGGATGAATGCTTCAAACGGTTTCGCCCGACGCAGAACTTGCGGGCGCTGTAGCGGGAGAGAAGGCAGCGAAGACTGTATCATACATGTTCATCAGTATACGTATGCAGTAAGCATTTAAATGCTGTTAATGGTGCACGTGGTATCCTAACAACGCGCGCAGGGGCCCGCAAACCTCCAAGTGCGGAGACTTGACGCTGTCATGCGCAAACTTCAGCAATGCCCAATATATATAATTATATGTATGCATATGTATGTATGTAACTATATATGTGTGTGTGTGTGGGTTTGCGTGTGTGTGTCTGTATATTGCATCAACTTATGACTTTCGCAGGAGAAGTGGACCTTCGCAGTGACTCAGGATATCGTCGCCTTGAGTGGGGCGAAGATGGCGAAGTGAAGGGGCGTGGCGTCCGATGGGCCGGCCTTTTGCCGCGCGGACACGTGCCCAATGGCAAGCCCTGTGCGCCGCTATTTGTGGTTCATCGCAACGGACAGACGCCGCGTCCTCCGATGATCTATCTTTGGGTCCCATGGTTTCTCTCTTACCTCTCGCCTTGCTTGCCTTCGAGGAATGAGTTGTGGGATGCCTCGATGCGTCGCCGACGTCATCCTAGAACGCAGGGTTCTCAGCTTATCACCGCGCGGTCAAGCCCTGCGCCCTTGCTCTTCATTGGAGGATTGGCCTTGCAACGCACTATCAACAAAAGCCTCACCAAACAACAGAGGCACATTCTAACGTGCCCACTCCGCGCAGGCACGTTGGCGGATGTTCCCGCTGGGCACCAGGGAAGAGGAGGGCACGGAGAGAAGGTATATTGAAGGGAGGAGCAGGAGGAGAGGGGGGAGGGTGAGGAGGCCTCCCTGCGCGCAGTGGACCACCGCGGGGCCTCGCGGGCCAGGTCCCAACGTTTTGCTTTCCCGAGGAAATGCCATTCGTAGAGACGCGGAAAAAAAGGGGAGCGGAGGGTGAGCTCGAGTGTGGGGGGGGTGGGCGGAGGGTACGGGGCGGGGCATGGGAACATAATTATGTTTCAGACGGATCGATTCTCGCCCAGTCCTCGGGCCCCGGAGGTGTCGACCCTTTCCCCCTTCCCCGTGGGTGGTTATTCGTCCCGGAATTGTTTTGGACGGCCCAGGTTCCCTGAGTGTGGCCGTCGGGTGCAGTTGATGGGAACAAGTTCGTGGTGTGTGTGATATATATATATATATATATATATAATATATATATATATATATATATATATATATTTTATATATACAAATATATATAAACTATTACAGGTTTTTACAAAGATGAATTTTCTGTCTCCTCCAAGGCGATGGCATGAGACGGTATGGGGCGGAAGGGCACGGGATGGGGGTACACCAGGCACGCCAGCGATCTGTTCACACAAATCCTTCTCAGGCCACTTCTGGTCCCACTTCTCGGGCCACTCAGGGACCCGCAGGCGGCGCCCCCCGCGGAGGCGGTAGCGGCGGCGCTCAGGGCGAGCGGCTGGGGGTTCGCGGCCGAGGGGGTCGCGGAGGGCGTCCTGGCCGAGGCGGAGGCTGCTGGCCTCCTCCGCTTCGAGGGCCGCCGGCGCCCCCGCTAGACGCAGGCGAGCACCCTATCGAGCTCGAGTATGACGGGCTCAACTGGGCGCGGCTCGCAGGCCAGTCGGGCGCGGCTGGCGCGCTGGGCTCCCTTGCCCCGGCCACCCCGCGGGACGAGGCGAGCTCCGCGGGGCCTGTGGTCGGGGGGCAGGCGGAGAGGCGCGCGGCTGCGGCCGCCGCCGTCGCTACCCCGCCGCGGGCGCGGGTCCGGACGGACTCCGCAGCAGAGGCTCCGCCGGCCGCTCCGCCTGCGGCGGCAGCGCCAGGGGCGGGGGCTCCGACGGCTGCTCCGCCTGCGGCGGCAGCGCCGGGAGCGGGGGCCCCGACGGCTCCGCATGCGGCGGCAGCGCAGGGAGCGGGGGCTCCGCCGGCGGCGCCGCCATGGGCGGTAGCGCCAGGAGCAGAGCCGGTGAAGCGGCGGCTCTGGGCTGACCTAGCGGCGGAGGGGGAAGAAGCCGCTAGACCCGACGCCCTGCAGGCGGCGACCCTGCCCGCGGGGGGCGCGCGGGCTGCTGGAGGCTCGGCCGCCAGACCCGCTCCAGGCGCCACGGCGGCGGCGCGCGCGGCGGCGGCGGACCGCGCGGCGGAGGCCGCTCAGGCGGTGGCCTTGGCTGCGGCCGCGGACGCGGCGGCCGCGGAGGCTGCCGAGGAGCTGCGCGAGGCGGTGTGCGCCGCCTTCCAGCGCGGCTGGACGCCTGTCAGGGTCGCCGCGCGCCACCTCGGCCTGCCCGAGGGCCGGCGCCTGCCCGCGGCCCGCGGCCGGGTGGCGCGGCAGGTGGCGCGCCTGGCTGCGGCGGAGCTCCTCGAGCTCGCCGAGCTGCTGGGCGCCGCAGACTAGCCGCGCGGCGCGCGGCGCCGGGCTGCGCAAAGCCGCAACCCGGCTGAGCACTGTTGCTTGTGCTGCTGCCTTCTCCTCTTCTTCCCCTCCCTTGCTTTCCCCCTTTCCCCTTAAGTCGCCACGGGGCGCGCCCCTCTCGGGCTGGTAAAAAAAAGTGTATGGTTGGCTCACCAGGCATTTGCACCGATCGTGGGGCCAGGAGTGGCCTTGCCAGGATCGGTGTAGGTGTATCGTTGGCGTCCCCAGCGGGGAGGCTGCTGCTGCTGCTGCTGATGATGATGATGATGATGATGATGATGATGATGATGATGAGGAGAAGGCGGATGATGAGAAGGAGGACCAGTGCAAACTCAAGAGTCATGAACGATGTTTGCATAAACTTTCCCGCGAAACTATTTTTTTACATAGGCCCGTGCAAAAGGTTCATTTACACTGAGGGAAATCCCCTTCGTTGGAAGACAGCCGTTTGGTTGCGCTTTGACAATCTTTAGTCGTATCAGAATTTCACTCCTGGGACTTCAACACTGCGAATTAACGTAACTGTTGCACGCTCCTGGTCCTGAATCTTTCCAAAACACAATTTTTGGCACGTTGACCACGGAAATCCGCGAAACTCCTGCAATTCAGCAAATGCGTGCAACGCGAAGGCGAGAGCCACATTTTCTCGCTAAGGCGGAAACCAATTTTTGAGAACCACCCGCCTTGAATCCGGAAAGCTCTGGCATACAAAAAACGAGTGAACGGGGCGCGAAGGCGAGAACGCATTTTGAAAACCGCCCGCCCTCAATCCGTGAAGCTCGTGCGATTTTTTCGGCTATGCGGAACGCCCGGCCCGCCCTTTTCGACTGGCTTGGGGGCGCGACAGGGAAACATTGGTTATACGGAGAAGTAAAGGAGGAGAAGGAGGAGGAGGAGGAGGAGGAGGAGGAGGAGGAGGAGGA